AATTCACCCTGCCTTGTCCAAGGTGGATGTTCTAACTAGCCAAGGTTCCCTTCGGATGTAAATCTCCTTGTGCTGCCAACACAAAGTTGGTCTGCTTCCCCTCCCACTCCTATAATGAATTTATTTTTTGTTATTTTGGTAAGAAGCAAAATATGGGGGGGAGAATGCAATGAAAACTATCACATCTAGATACCCTCTAGCATTCTATGAAAAAGGCAGGATGGCTAAATGCTTTAAAAAGCTTTTCTGGAGACATCACAACAGGCAAGGAAGAGATCAGGCAGCTTTATGGTCTGTGTTCGATTAGCATGGATAGTCAGGACAGGGGACCTTTGCCAAAATCACAAACTACGTATCCTCTCTCATATCCTCTCCAGTTGAGGCCTTGATCCTTCTCCCCATCTTTTCGGAAAAGAGTAGCTAAAGCAGCGGTTCTCAACCTATGGGTCGCGACCCCATTTGGGGTCGATCGACCATTTCACGGGGGTCGCCAAGCAAGGCTGTCCGCCATTTTTTTCCCCTTTTCCGGCGGGTGCCTTGCCTCCCTTGGGCTGGGCCAGCTGGTGGTCGGCCTGCTCCGTCTCTGCCGCTTGCCAGCTATGCCTCGGCCGGCGCAGGGGGTGGAACCACGCATGCACGGCGCTCCCGGGCAGGGAAAGTCCTCGACTTACGACCGGTAGGGTAGTCCTCGACTTACGACCTGTTTAGTCCTCGACGTACGACCGGTTTAGTCCTCGACTTACGACCGGTTTAGTCCTTGACTTACGACCAGTTGGGGGTCGCGGCATTAAAAAGGTTGAGAACCACTGAGCTAAAGGATTAGGCCCACCCAAGAAGTGGCTTTGGTAAAAAGAGTTTTCTAGCAGGGTTTCCTTGTAACTGGAATATAGGTAGTCCTTGACTTACGACAATGGAGCCCAAAATTTCTCTCGCTAAGCGAGCCATTGGTTAAGGGAGTTGCGTTCCATTTGACCATCTTTCTGGCCACAGTTGTTAAGTGAATCACCGCAGGTGTTAAATTAGTCACACGGTTGTTAAGTGGAATCCTGCTGGCCCGTTGACTTTGCTTGTCAGAAGGCCCCAAAAGGGATCACATGACCCCGGGGGACGCTGCAACCGTCATAAATATGAGTCAGTTGCCCAGCGTCTGAATTTTGATTATGGGACCAACAGTCGTAAGTGTGAAAAATGGTCATAAGTCACTTTCAGTGCCGCTGTAACTTTGAACGGTCACTAAACGAACTGTTATAAGTCCAGGACTACCTGTACTTTGTCAAGGTAAATATTGAAAAGAGCTAAGCAGAGACAGACCCAGTTAGTATTCAAAAGGGTCGTCCGGGAAGTCAAAAATGCCAGGCCAAAACTGCATACTACTGTAAAGATGCCTAGTCCACAAGATTTGAGCTCGGCTTGAGGGCTTCTGGACCCAGATTGAGAATGAAACCCATTCCCAGTTTGTACCAGAGAGTGTTTTATATGCTACTCTGATCAAGGAATCCCCAGCTGTGCTTTATGTAGCAAGTGGGCCAGTCTTAAGCTGAGAAGATAAAAGCAAACCATTCAGAATATTACCCTGGAAATCTTCAGAAATCAATGGGGCATGTCTGTCTCCCCAGACACTCTTTCTCGGACCATAGGGTTATGAGACTTAAAACAGAGCTACTTGACAAATTGCAGCAGGGAGGCTGCAGAATTAACACATTTAATTAAGCCTCTCAGGGCTTGGACCAGCAGTATATGCTGTTCAAACAAACAGGGAAGGGAAGAGCTGAGCCACCAACTTTAGCATCCTTAGGCTGGAAAGACGGTAAGAGTATGTTTTCCTTGGCGGTCTTGTGAATAGGTCAATGAGATGAGATTTCCCATCAGGCCTATCTCATCAGTGAGAGTTCCCGGTTAGGGCGAGCACTTCTCCAAAAAGGACAAAAAAAAATCTAGAGATACAGAAACGTGCTACTCTTTGCATTGATCTAGCAGAGTGTGTGACAAGGACTCCTAATCGCCGGTGCCCATCCTGATATCAAGCATTGAGTAGAGTGTCATCATCATTGTCGCCAACCATTCAGTTGTGTCTGACATTTCCCTAATTCCTTGGTGTTCTCCCAGCCAACTCTTTTCAAATGTGGCAACTAAATTAACACCTATGGAATCAAGGATACCATCTGTCCTAGACATGGTCATCTTTTGCTCTTATTCCTGTCATTGTTTCAGGATGTAGAACTGTTCGGCCACATATGGTCCTAGGCCTGAATGAAGTTGTCTCTTCGGAGTTATGTCTTCATAGACAAAGCATGTTCTCCTTTATGCTTTTTATTCCTAAATTTATGCAGGTTGGACAGTCCTTTTAATAGACCGCAGCTGGCTCTACAATAGCACTGGGACCATAATATTATAGGTCAGTGGTGGCGAACCTATGGCACAGGTGCCAGAGGCAGCACTCAGAGCCCTCTCTGTGGGCACGCGCACCATCGCCCCAGTCCTAGGCCTTCAGCTGGGTTTTATAAAACCTTTTCGCTTTAGGCCTCCGCCGCCATGTGCAAAAAAAAAAAAAAGGTTCAATTAGTCAATTTCAACTTCTCGCGGGAAAAAAAATCTTGCAAAGTTGGAATTGATTGATTGAACTTTTTAGTCCCACCCAGTCTGCTGTTACTACCGCAGCCACACCCACTCAGTGGGCCACGCCCACCCAGTGGGCCACGCCCAGCCAATGGGGCACGCCCAGCCAATGGGGCACACCCACCCGGCACTCAACGATGCATAAGTGGGTTTTGGGTTGCAGTTTGGGCACTCGGTCTCTAAAAGTTTCGCCATCACTGTTATAGGTCATTAAACGGATTGATGCATTCTAAAAGTTCAACGTTGAAAGGATAATTGAGAATCAGTTTGGTCTAATGGTTAAGGCACCAGGCTAGAAAGTAAGAGACCATGAGTTCTAGTCCCACTTAGACATGAAAGCCAGCAGGGTGACTTTGGTCCAGTCCCTTTCTCTCAGGCCAACCCACCTCACAGGGTTATTGTTGTGGGGAAAATAGAGGAAAAAGGTATGTTAGATAGGTTCGCTGCCTTGGGTTATTTGTAAAAAAATAATAATAAAGGCAGGATACAAATAAATAAAACAAAATAATTGATATTTATTATTCATGAGTAATTATAATCAATAATACAACTGATTAAATAATTTTGGAGACACTATATAAAGCAAGCAAACAATAAGCAGATAACAGTTATACGGAATTCATTCCCTCCAAATATCTGAATCTAGTGGCATATAAGCGGATCAATTCAGCAAGTTAATAGTCAATGGAGAATTTAATACATTTGAGGTAACATCAGAAAGGAAGAGAGTTCAGAGATGGGGAAGCAGATTACGAGAAGTGATTCACTTCAATAGAGCATGCAAAGAGATCACCCTTAAATGGGAAAAGCAGAAAAATAAATCTAAAAGTAAAGAGACAACCTTAAAGCTTCTTGGAACATCGAAACAGCTGGTTTTAAAAACTTCATTCTGTAGTAGAAATGAAAGTGGTTTTATACTAAGACCACTGCCATTTTGGTCTGTAAAAATATTGTTAAAAATGAAATCACGATCTCCAAAATGTGTAATGTCTTGACACCTCTGGGTTTTTATGGCTGTCCAAGTCATCTGATGCCAATTAATATGTGTTATAGAAGCACCACTAATCTATTTCAGGAAGCTATCCCTGCTGGGTTTTTAAGTATTCCTTCGTTGGCCAATTACTTTCTCGCTTATTTCTCTTGTTAAAAAGAAGGTTCAGCTGTTTTAAAATGATCCTTTCAGGGTTTTTATTATTATTATTATTCACTCCCAAGGCAAATTTCTAATGAAGTTAGGAAATCTTATCTACAATCTTGTTAGAAAGAGCCCTTGACCATCTCCCATACCTCTTTCATTAAGGAAAGGAAGGAAGAAGTCTCTTCATTTCGAATTTATTCGCTTTACGCCATGTTAAAACCCTTCGGTGGTTAATGCCACCAAAATGGACACTGGAATTGCCTGAGGAGGATGACCAAACAAGAGGATCACAGCAAAGGCGCAGACCCTAAAGAGGTAAGTAGAATATTGAGAAAGTGATCTAATCTGTGTCTGTGATATCCTTAAAAGGACATACAGCAAAAATGTCATGCACAATGGCATACAATGAAAACAAACCTATAGAGACACTATTATAAATACTGAGCCACCATTAAGGCTGATGTAATTCTACAATTTTGCAGATTCATGATGCAAACATTACTTATTTAATTTCATTCCACTTTGTGTACCATCTAATGTCTCAATGACTCCTGGTGATTTATAATCATAAACGTAAATCAACAGTTAAAAACATTCCTGATAAGTAATGACCAACAAAACCAACTAAGCATCCATAATAACATTTTAAAAAGTCAAATGATAATATAGAATTTGCTAGGTTTGGCTTTTAGAGACCTTATGCTGATGATATGCAGATCTAGAGACCTTATGCTGATGATAAGGACTCTAAAATTATGTGACGTGGGTTGTAGTCTGATGAACACTGGGTATTTTCCCCCTTGCTAATGGACTCGTATGTTTTTATTACACAACTGTTTTGCCCATTTTAATGTTAGCTAACTTTTGAGTATTATTTTTGGTGGGAGGGCAGCATATTAATTTAATATGTAAGGTAACAGTTATGCCTCAGCTCACTGATTTCAATCAGTTTACATATTTAATATTGGGTGGCTTACACTGGTTAGGGATTATGAGAATTGGTCCAACACATATGGATGACATTAGACTGAATCAAGTCCTGGACATCTCCTTCATGGAGAATAATTGCAGTTAACACGAATGGAATTTTAGAAATGCATTCATGCAAGACATACTAACAATGCAACCACATATGAAATCCAGAATTCAACAGAGTAGGGTTTCTCAATGTGGGAAAGTTTTAAGATGCATAGAATTCAACTCCCAGAATTCCGCAGTCAGCTCTGAATTGAAATCCACTCATCTTAAAGCTGCCAAGGGTGAGACACACTGCAATAGAGGACATCAAACTGCATCCAAGCAAAAGTGTGGATGTCACCTGACATCACTGTTAAGGCACCATTTTCTTCTTGTGTATCAGGGCAGGCACAGAGCTGAACAATGCCCCTGCCAAACAAACCCGGGCGATGTAACCATCGGAACAAAGATATGATATGGGTTGCTCAACAATGATTTAGCAACACTGATCATCTGTGGGTGAAGAAAAATGATCTGTTTCAATTTTGTCCTCCTGGAACAATTTGGCCAAGAGACTTCTCAGTGGGACTCATTAGCATCTCTCACCTGTATTACCCAAGCAGAGTTGACAATAAATAAGCCCTAGGGGATCCATTAAGTTAAATCCAATAAATACAGAAACTACTAAAAAGAAATTCAGAAGCGAAGTTTCACCATACAGAGCCTGGAGGAAAACAATCTGGTTGCAAACCAGATTGACATTCAATCATTTCATGTGAATGCGTTTATATTTGTTTAATATACTGCTCTGGCAAACGGGCGGTTACCAATACTACAACACATGTTTTATGAGATTCAATCAGCATTTTCTGGACTGTTATACAAACGCATCTTTGTACAAACACATTTTCAATTAACTGAAGTTATAAAACAAAGGGGGGGGGAGCAAAGAATTCACAATACATTTGGTTGTACTCATCCGACTGTATCTGAAACTTCTCATATCTTGAAGGAAACTCAAGATGCCGCCTTATACAAAATTCTGAATTTGTGAACGATACATTCCGATTCACGGAACTGAATCTTGGGTCTTCAGTCACAGGAACGGGAAACGGGCCAAAGTACCATCAAGGATTCGAAGCCGATTATTCTAAGTGCTGGATCTCAACGGTTTGGCATACACAGGTTGCAGAAGATGGTGAGTCAGAAGCAAAAACAGGCATCCCAGGAAAACCAGGCTCAAACTGAGAAGCAGGATGAAACGGCCAATGAAGAAGGTGTCTACAATCTGAGAATATAACACCGTAAGTCACAACTGTGGCCGCCGATCTCTTCAGCATTAGATGTCATTAAATTGAAAGAATGCTACATTTTGTATCAGTCCTGGCAGGTGCTAAAGCAGCCCTGCGTGTTTTCCTGACAACTGAGATGAGTTGGTTGGTGACTGAGAGCAGGGCGGTTTCATTTGTGGCACTTCACTTCCACAATCACCTCTTTGTGGAGGCTCACTTGATAGTATTGTGCTACATATTCTGTGGCTAACACGTGCCCCGTATTCTGGTGCCCGCTTTCCATTGCTATTCCTGGTTCTGAAAACCAAGGAGAAGAATGAAGGGTACATTTATTCTTGTTTTCTAGCCAAACCAGGGGTTCCACTTGCATCTTGGACTTGTATCTAACACTCAATAAGGATTGCCCTGTGTCCCCAATATATATATATATAAAATCTGCAAGACTTGATGGGTGTTTATTGTTTGCTACCGCTACACTGAATTAAGACTTGGGAAACATGGAACAATCTAAACAAAACCAAACAGATACATGGAACTTTTACAGATGTTTTTCCTTCAGAAATGGCACTGACCTCCCTTGTGGAGAAGGGCAGCATTGGCTGTGCCTTAAATTGAGCTGCTGGATAAAAAAAAGTCCTTCAGAAGGAAACTCTAGCTAAGACAACCCTCTGTGTTGTTCAAGTGTGCTGATGGCAGAGCTGTGCAGGAACGTGACCAGGAAGGAGCCCTGCAAGAAGCACAGCCTTCTCATCATCAAGGAGACAAGGACAGAAGACCTTTAGAAGGAGTATAGAATTTAAAGAATTAGGTCTGGGAAATCTCTGGGAAGGAGGAATCAATTGCCTCTGAAGTTGATCTGAGAGAGAGAGAGAGACACACACACACACACAGCTCTTAATAAAAATTCAGACTGCTTTGGAGAGTTAATCTAGCAGCAGGTAAAAGCCTAGACGAGGAACATTTGATTATTGGTGAAATTTGCTGGAAGCATCAGCTGCATTAGTAAAAGTGTGATTTACTGGGAAAGGGTAGAACGCTACACCGTACTAAAGAAAAGATGGGGAGGGTGCACTCTAATAAGGTAAAAGCCCCAGCCGAGGATCTGCACCTAGAGAAATAAAAAAGCAGCTCCTGAGATTAAAGAAGACAAGTTGTGTTCATCACAATCAAGGTTCACCTGAAATCCTTGATGCTCTCCGAGTTTGGTGGTTTACTTGCGGATGTTTCATTATCTGACTAGGTAACATCATCAGTGCTCAAAGTTCACATCTTTACTGCCCACTAATTATGGAACTTTTTTTTTTTTTGCAAAAGATGATAGGTCTTATGTCTAGATTAAAAAAATAATACTTTAAAAAAAAACAACCCGAAAAACTTCTTTTCAGTGTGGAAGACTTTTTTATATATAAAAACTATAATAAAGCACCAATTTCCCTGTTTAATTGTACGATTAGTTATCTGAGACTATGACAGGCAAATCATTAGCTTAAAAGGCAGGTATGAAAGAAATAGCGCTGGCTTGAACTAAGAAAAAAAAGAATTCATTAAGGGCAATTTTCATAATATTGGATGAATACAATACTAGCAGAATTTGCTGCAAATTATAGCAAAGACCACTGGCTTCAAAGAAATTAAAGCAAACCTATATTGGCTGACCCTAATAATAAACAGCAGCCATAATGGCTAAATGGCTAATGAAAATTTTATAATCAGAGAGAATATTCAACTGAGTGCCAGCTATTAGTAAGTAAAGATAACACAAAGTCATTGTTTTCATATCCTTTCATATGCCTTAGGGTCACTTAATTAACAAGAAACTGGAGAAAATGGTGTTTGGAGTTAATTATGACTTCCTTTGAAAACAGTTAAAGTGAAATAAAATAGTTGCATGAAAAGCTAACAGGACAACAAATTATACACAGGGAAGAAACACGGCATGGTGTGTAAACCCAGCTATTTTCATTTAGAGAACAGTTTTTTACGTTTGGAACAATGTGCAAAGCCTGAAAACTGAGAGCGGTTAAGCAAACCATGACTGATGATAATATGTGCCACTGTATAGGACAAAACAGGACACTGGAAAAAAAATATCAGCATTTTAAATGAATACAACAGAAGTGCTGATGATTCACATCAGGAGTGCATTTAGTTATCCCTATTGATCATATCAGATATGTGTGGAAGTCCAAATTAACAAAAAGCTACAGGGTTAGGTGTTATTAGACTGACCCACACCAGATTCATAGGTAGGCAGAAGAGAATTTCAGGAGACAGGAAGCAAGACATTGTATGAATCCAAATCAAAGCTTCAGAATGCAAATATAATTGTGTGGCCCTGTTGAAGAATCTTTTCATCAAAAGAAGAAAAGAGCTGACACATAAATGAGACAAGTTTCTCCAAAAGTTTAACAAGCAGTTATAACTGAAGTTTCTTTTAAGATGCAACAAACTTCTAGAAAAGTGAGGCACTCTCTGTGTCTAATGGGGGGGGGGGAATCTATGAATAACCCAACATGGAAGCACATTCCCTTTGCAAACAACCTCAGTGTAAAAGCATTTCCTCTTTCCTAACAGGGTGAAGCAAGCATTCCTTCTAACCTTTCTTTTTTCCAGCTTAAATACTTAGTTTTTATAGCTGATTTTTTTTTTATGTCTGGGGAATAAAGAGTCATTTCAGAGTTTCAGAGCTGAATTTCATTTTCCTGTTCCAAAGATGCCTCTTATTGCCTTTTTTATTTCTTTAGGTATAGGTAAGAAATAGCAGAAGTTTCTCAAATGCAAAATTCACTTGGCAATTCAGACAAGTAAACCGGATGGCTTAAATCTTTGTTAAACTTGATAAACAATCTTCACTTTTAACGTCTGATCAGACTTCTAGATTTTCAGGCAAACAAAAGAAGCGACTTTCAAGTATTTTTGATTTTGCTCAAACAGCTCATTACGAGAGGCTACTTCGTTTTCCTTCTTTACTGCCAGATACTTGCTCCAAAATAGAATCCTATCCTTGAGCTCTTAGCCTGCCATAAATTCAACCTGAATCCAAAGTATCCACCCACTCTTAGTCTTTGATACCCAACTGCCAAGCCCAGCCCAGTGCTTTTAATAACTTGGGGGCAGCACTAGCATTTTAACTCTGGTTCTCACTGTCATAACCTCCAGCAATGCTTCTCTTGTTCCGACAGTGGTTGAGAAACAGGCAATTAACTCTCTGCTTGGGGTGATGTATTTCATTGAGACTATACTTAGCCCATGTGCTCAATCAGCTCAAAGACTGTGTTGGTCTTGGTTTCAACAGCTGAGACAGAATACGTTGATTTTCAGACACTTTTACCTTGATTTCCGTAACTGGCGCGGGAAACTTGCTGGCACGAGGAAAAAGCAACAAGGTTACGGTGATGATCACAGCAGCAAAGAAAACCAGGATGACGGAAAACCTAGAGAAATAGAAAGTTAATGCAGAAATCAGCCTAATATTTGAATGGCAGCATCACTTACTTCAGACATGTCAAACACGCAACGTCACGTCGTGCAACATATCGGGACATTTTTGCCATTGCTGGCAATGGGGTGGGCGCAGCTTCTGTGTGACGCGTCCGGCCCGCGGGCTGACAGTTGACACCCCTGATTTACTTGGTATATAACCTAGATTAGTTCTTGCTCATCAGCCAGACATTAGATCAGGGATCTTCAAACTTGGCCTTTTTATGACTTGTGGACTTCAACTCCCAGAATTCCTCAGCTAGAATTTGCATGTCTTATATTAAGTAACAACGTATCTGTCAATTTTCATTTCGTGCAACTTTTCAGAGTACCTTTTAACAATAATCTCCGTTGCAAAATCACATTATTTTTTGACAACAAAGTACAATTTTTTTTCCAATAATTCCTCATGCTTTCATCCAAACAATATTAAAGTGATACACATTAATCTTCTGGTTTAAAAAAAAGGAACACTGTGGTTCTTTAAAATTTAATAGTCACCTTCAGCATTACAAGAAGTAGTTAATTCAACTACTTTCTAACCTTGTATACTATGAAATACTTACAGCAACCATAAGCAGCTCTAGTTTGACTCTCTGTTACTGAAATGCTAAATATGCATAAGCAATGTCAGAATGCTCCATTCACTTGAGAAAAAAATGACCTATTATTGAACAACTGCTTAATACAGGCTCTATACTCTCATTGGAATAGCCTCTCCAGCTATTCAGAGAACAGTTCACTAGGAAGTCAGAATGAGAGGGGGAAAAAATAGCAAGTGGAGATAGCTATATAGCTACAGCACAGAGCGAAGAGGTTTGAAATTGTATAAAAGCTTTCCTACTTCAAATAAAGCTTTACATGTGACACTAATAGAAAGAAACAATGCCAGATACAATTAAGAAAATTCACAGAGGACAACAGGAGCATTAATGAGAAACAGCAGGAGCCCAATGAGAGAAATGATTGTGTTGAAAGGATTGAATCACCTTTGTACACAGGTCAGCAAGTCAATAGTTAACATGATCAAGCGGGACCATTCCACTGGACCAGAAACCAGCAATTGCACTGAGGCAGGCTACATAAAATCTCATTGTTAGGGCCAAGCAGTTGTTCACCGCAGCATTTTGCTACAGCCAACTCAAAAGCACAGAAATATGCTCAACAGTGGAAAGAAACAGAACCTGGTGAATGAGCAGAAGAAATGCTGGGAAAGAAATGCTGGAGACTGGATCACTTTCTGTGTATCTAAGAGCTACTGTCCTGACAGGTAAAGATAAACAAGGATCAACATTAGGAAACTTACCGAGCTAACACCGAGAGTTGAATGATATAATAATAATAATAAAAACCACCTCATTGCTGCTCAGGTTACCAGCGTTCATCACCATGAAAAGTCCCTCTTTCTTAACATCTCCTTTGTGTTTAATGTTAGGACAATTCAGGTTAAGAATCTCCAGCATTTGCACAAAAATCTCCTGCCTTCTTAAGCTTTGCCTGAAATTCATATGAGGAGCAGCTTCCCCTCCATTTATTTTGCCAGTAATAGGGATCTTACCTAGCAAGTCCAGAAGCTCTAGACAGCAACACGCACAGCAATAAAGTCAAGACCCAGACCACTGCCAAGATGAATACTCCAGGTCCAACTCCAAGTATTGTACTGGTCATCCTTTTCTCTGAAAGGTCAAGAAAAGATAAAGGAAGCTTCACAGATCACTGTTATTTTTATTTAATGTATTTGAACTGTCACTTCTTTTTCCATCTGCATCAACACCCCCTGCTTTCCAAACTGCATGGCAAGCCTAAGACTTAAAATCAGGCTTGTCAGATGCTACATTTTTTCTATCCTGCTCTATGGAGTAGAGAGTTGGACTCTGACAGAAGGCCACCTGAAGAGACTAGAAACATTAGAAATGTGGATTTACAGGCGGCTGTTACGTATAAGCTGGGTTGACAAGATCAGAAATGAGGAGGGGATAAGCCGCCTGGGAAAGCCAAGGGAAATCATCAAAACAATTAAAAAACAAAAATCAGAATATTTCGGACATGTGATGCGACACCCAGAAAAATACGGCATACTCCATTTAACCCTCCAGGGAAAGATTGAAGGCCAACAAGGTCCAGGCAGAAGAAGAACATCGTGGCTTCAAAATCTAAGGGACTGGTTTGGACAAAACTCAGCAGCACTTTTTCGTGCGGCTGCTGATAAAAACAGGATCGCCAACATGATCGCCAACGTCCGATAACGGATATGGCACAAGAAGAAGAAGAATGGCAACCTTGGAGGGAAATAAACCAGTAGATGCCACTCTTCTTCGTTGCTTCATTTACTTAGGTGCTGTGCTACTATTCCTCCTCCTCCAGGAAGCACTGGGTAGCATAGATGGTTCATGTGCCTGCATAAAATTCTCTTAACCTGTGAAACAGGTCAATCAAAACCAGATAATAACATCACGGTTGAAAGGTTGCAAATAAAGGAAGACGTACAGGAGGCCCTCGGCTTACGACCACAACTGAGCCCCAGATTTCTGTTGCTAGAGCAATAGAGTTGTTAAGTGAGTTTTGCCCCATTTTATGACCTTTCTTGCCACAGTTGTTAAGTGAATCACTGCAGTAGTTAAGTTACTGACACCGTTAAGTGAAGCTTTGCTTGTCAGAAGTTTAAAAAAGATGATCACATGACCTTCAAGACAGAATAATGGCCGTAAATACAAGTCAGTTGCTAAGCATCTGGATTTTGATCATGTGACCCTGGGGATGCTTGCAACAGTCCTAAGTGTGAAAAACAGTCAGAGCTACTTCACTTTAAACAATCACTAAATGAATGGTTGTTAAATGGAGACTGCCGGTTGCAAAAATCGGATAATCCTTAGCTGGCAGCCCAGAGTCTGTGGATTTTTGCAGCCTGGCTCTGTTAACCCCCAGGAAAAAACAGTTCGATGGCTGTCTTGTGGAAAACGAAAGAACTCTTACGAATTCCAGAGGGGTTTAGCAGAGAAGTTTATTTGCGCAGGTTCAGAGGCATATTAGAGATAGGCAATTCTGAATGAGGAGGGCGGGATTAGACTTCAGTTTTTATACTATCCTTCTTTTAGGAACAAAGGGACTACACATGATAATACACTGTAATACATTTGGTACAATGGAAGGTTTTGCTACATACAAAGTATCCATGTGCAATGCACATTTGGTTAGCCACATATTACTGACACAGAACTTTCCCAGTGAATTTATCCAGTGATTATGCATTACATCATTATTCTAGCAATTATGCAGACACATCATTATTGCAGTTATGCAGACAAATCATTATTCTAATAATTGTTCATTTTACTACATTAGCTGTATTCTCATTTTATAGACCAGGGGTCTTCAAACTTGGCCCTTTTATGACTTGTGGACTTCAACTCCCAGAATTCCTCAGCCAGCCATGCTGGCTGAGGAATTCTGGGAGTTGAAGTCCACAAGTCATAAAAGGGCCAAGTTTGAAGACCCCTGTTATACACGATTCCCAAACGAATCCTCTGAATCTGCACAATACACAGGACAACGTAAGACTAAGCAAGGGCTGGATTCACACAACACACAACAAGGGCTGGATTCACACAACAAAAGGCAGCTGGCTGATCTGGTGTATTCAACTCTTGTATGTTTTAAACCAGTGCCTCTCCCTGCTCTCAATCAAGGCCCTCAAGGGGGAAATACTTCAATTTTCCCTCTCTTCCCCTCACCCGGACCAGCCAAAGTGGCCCCCAGAGCACAAGCAGGATGAAAAGCAATCATGACTGTAAATCTAGCTGCAGGCAGAGACCATCACGGCCAAAGCTTCCCCGGTGGAATTCCTGCCTGGTTTTTTTTTTTTTTTTTTTTTTTTTTTAAACTAAGGATCCAGCCAGGAGACAGAAACAACAACAGTAAAAATAACGAGCGAAGCCCCTTTCCCTTCCCCCCCCCACAACAAACCTACCCCCCAAACTCCTTGCCCTCCGAAAACCTGCAATGCTTATAGCCAATCCCGGGAAGGCTTTGAACGAGATATCTCCCGAGAGATCCAATAAGCGTTTATCTTGCTTCCTCACTCTCGGATCGGATTGGCGGTCGCTCGGGGCAACCCGAAGCCTCGCGGCGAAGGCAGAGGAAGCGCGAGCGCGCCTTCCGTCGCGAATCTGACTACGGATTGGTTTAGAGGAGCCGCGTCTACACCAATCGCCTTTGCCCGTTCGGCGTGACGTCAGCGTCCTCTCTCTCTCTCTCTCTCTCTCTCTCTCTCTCTCTCTCCCTCCCTTTTGGGAGTCTGGCTGGAGGATTTCTTTGCAGGATTTCTATTGTTGATCAAACGATTTCTGCTGTAGATCAAAAGTTCGCCCGTCGCCTTTTCTCTCTCTCTCTCTCTCTCTCTCTCTCTCTCTCTCTCTCTCTCTCTCTCTCTCTCTCTCTCTCTTTAATAAGAAAAGTTATTTACATTATAAACTTATTTCTTCGCCTGCCCAATTGTTTGCTCACCTGGTGGAAGGAACAAAAACAAGCACAATTTAATGGCACTGAAGTATGTGCTAATTTAACACTCAGGATTAGCTAAAAATAAAAACACCCAATCCTGGCAAGTCAAAATGAAGCACCTGCAAGCACAGGCTGCGGTTACAGAAATAACTAAAAGAACAGCTTCCTTTTTTTCCCAATTGGCGTAGATATTATCTGTAGGGTGTTTTAAGGTGTTTAACAAACTATAATGCAGAATCAGTAACAGGAATAGGTGATAGCACCCAGCCAAACTTGGCTTGGAAAAGAAACGCTCCTTCTTGGGGAGGGCTTTGTTAAGAACTTCTGCTAATTGGGATCATTCTTCGATTATTATTTTTTTCATCCCATTTTGCAAAGAACTTGTTTGTCTCTGTGTGTGGTGCATGTGTTAAAAAATGTTATAAGAGGAAAACATCTCACACTTGTTTTGCTTGCTTATTTTCAACATTAGGGGAAGATCTAAAATAGAAACACTTGTAATATCAATTTGAGAAAATTGCCATCTGTCCTTTATTTTCCCACTTCAGATATGTGTAAGGAATTGCTATCCTTCTGGTATGTTTTAAACTTCATCAGATGTTTAAATCATACAAGATCACAGGAGTAGCTTGTATTCTGTATATCCACCTCCAGGCCTCTTCAAAATGGAAAGAATTAACTTTCTCCTTCTTGCGTTTATCTATTACTTGTCATTAAGCATATTGGAAATATATGCTACTTTTGGGGGGGCAGAGAGGAACAACAATGGAAGAACAATCTCGGGTTCCTTGGAGGAATCTGAGATCAGCTATTTAGAATAAAAGATATATAGATCTTTGATATTCAGATTCAGATGAATGTCAGAGCCAGAATCAATGGCAGCATGGAAATGGAAGGCATGCCACATGGGTAGTTGAATCATTAGCACCATTATTTAAGCAGTTGCAATCCAGCAGATGAGCAAAAGAAAAACACATATTTATTTCATGTGTAAGGAACCAAAATGTAGTGATAATCTTTTACTTTATGCCTTGATTTCTAAACTGCCCACTAAATATCCTCTGATCCTTGGGCAGCTAAAACCATAAAGCAATAAAACAGCATTATTGTATAGATAAAAGGAATAACATTCATTACAACAAATCGATGATGAAAATTGCCATGAAACCCACATCAGCCAATAAGACAAATGTGTTGCTTTTGGGAAGACATTCAGAATTTTGGGTGCTAATGCTGAAGAGGCCCTTTGCTCTCCATTTATTCATTTTCCTTTGCTCTCCATTAATTCATTTCTTTGAATTTGTGTAGGTAAACATAGGATGCCTTTCTTCAGATAATCTGAGTTAAAACTGTTTAGAGCTTTCTCAGTAATACCAAAGATGTAGGATAAAATTTAGGAACCCCTTTTCACACTCCAAATCTTTAAAGGAAGACCCTTCTTCTTTCACCCAAATTACAGCAAAGAGGAACACAGGGAAGGAAAAGAATCTGAGAAATTTCTAAAGGCATTCCAGCTACAAAGTGGAACTCATTATACATTCCAGATTAGCAACTTCCTTCCTGAATGATCACTTAAGGGTGAAAACATTCTGCCAATAAACTTTCCCATTAATGCAGCTTTCCTCTTGATTTGACTGCCAAAATTATTGGAACATAAGCTGATAAAGCATCTCATATTTAGAGGGTGGGACTGTAGTTCATAGATAGACCAGGTCCGTATGGAGAAATTCACAATCCCTTGCTATTTCTGATCTACAGAAAAGCCAAGCAACAGATGATTGGAATGACCTTTGAAGAACCAATGTATTAAAACTGAAACAACAGTGAGCTAGAAAGCAAACAACTTGATCCAATATATAGTGATCTCCTGATGCCTTCCTTAAATTGCAAAATAATTTGTTGTATCTATTTTCCCCTCCATCTTCAGAGTTACATTGATACAGTTACATTCTTGGTGTCAAAACTTAAAAAGTTAATGTAAATCATTCAAGCATAAAGTCACTAAAGAGAATGGGTAGAGGACCTGGGCATAACAAATACATCCCCTATATTTAAAACCTGCTTAAGGCTGAAAAGATAGGGTGCCAAAGTGTTTGTGTGTAGAGGGGAATCCTGGGAAGATGAGGGGAAATAAATGCAAGCAAAATTAATCATGATGATGAGGTCCCCATAATTAGGGGAAGCTGCATCTCCCTAAGAGAGATTCTGTGCTGAAAACCGGCTCTTGACAATTCTAGTGCAATAGAAAGTCTGTATATGTGTAAGAACCTTGTATTTTATAATTTGTATGAAGCACAAACAGGTTGTGTAAATGTGTTTGAACTTCGAAAGTCAGTTTGATTCAGACTTAGTTGCAGTTTTATTTCTCCTAAATCTGAGATTGTTTTGTTTTGTTTTTTTTTTTTCCAAAAATTTTTTTTATTATTTTCAACATAAGAAAAAAGCAAACACAAGTACATCACAATTGGAAAAAACCCCCTCCCCACCCCCCACCCGGACTTCCCAAACCTAATCCCAGGATACTATTCATCTAAAAGTAACCTTGTATTAATATCCCTAACTCCACACAGTATAATTCTACATAAATAGGTGAAATATAAGTATATATATA